AGCTCTAGCAAAAGGGACTGTTCAGTAATGAAACTAATGATGAGTAGGAGGAAATGGAGACTGGGTCAAACCTAACACCTGCAGCCAATGCAACAACATGTTTTTTATGAAAAAGAGAAAGCTGAGAGGGGTCCCTCTGCAACCCAAGGGTCCCCAGCAAGACTTGCAAAAGCACAGAGATGAGTCTTCTTGGCTCCTGAGCACTCTGGCATCCCCGGTGTGACAGCCTTGGAATTTCTGTAGCTATTTGGGTCATGACCTCCTCCTGGCCGCTGTTTCAGAAACCACGGGGCTTATTGTCTGGGCCCTCCATTTGTCAGAGTACACACTCCTATCATAGTCCTAGGTCTTGATCACCTCGTTTATTTCTGGGGCAATGTGTGGCATGATTTTATTTAATTCAAGCTAAGGCAGTGTGGAATACATCATCTTAAACACCTCTCTTCGCCAAAGTGGGTTATTACTTAATTACTTACTTATTCAGCTCCTTCAGGCCCTAGGGGTGCCACAGAGAAAAGAACCAAGTCCTAATGTAAACCAGTGTCACAAACCTCTTGTTCGTTTTTGTCTTTGATGAGGTGGTTTGAAGGGTGTTAACCACTTCTGATGGGTGGGGCCACTGAGGGTTTCCAGGGCAGTTTCTGCACTGCACACAGGGTGGGCCTCTGTGCCTCCCTCGGCTTCCAACACTGTTCAGCTCTGTCTCTTTCAACTGCTCTGCTTCTGTGGCAGTGGCTCCTTGCTTTGCTCAGACTCATGCACTCTGACCCTGAAAGAAGGGAGTGAGGGTGTGTCCTGATGTCCTTACTCTGATCAAAGACCTGTTCCTGAGATGATGGATGTCACCTGGAACACCTGAATTCTCATCCATGGAGCTCAGGGGACATTGTTTCCAAACTCAGCCCACTTTATGAGTACCTTGTTGTGGGCTTCCCATCTCCTGGCTGTCCTGGGGCTAGGGCCTTACCCCAAGCAGCACACACATCTCTGTGCTTTTGCTAGTCGCTCTCAGCTTTCTCTTTTTCATAAAAAACATGTTGTTGCATTGGCTGCAGGTGTTGGGTTTGACCCAGCCTCCATTTTCTCCTACTCATCATCAGTTTCACTACTGAACAGTCCCTTTTGCTAGAGCTGGGCTGGAAACTCCCCATTCCTTGCATTTCCCTCATAAATTCCTTCCAAGCTCACCTGTCCCTCCTTCCCTCGTTGTCAGCACCAGATGTGTCAAAGCTAGGAAGGTGGCATCCGGTTAAAGATTGGATTGAGAGAGGGCGGGGCCGTTCCACCGGAAAAATCCTTTTTAAGTTGAGAGGCCATGGGCTCCAGAAGCTGCCTTCAGCTCCCAGCCCTGGGCTTGCAGGTTGTCCCGATGCGCAGAAAGTGCTACTTGCAATTAGTTCACCCAGGCCAGGGATGCTAGCCAACTGACCGATTCATGGCAAGCCCCACCCCAAATGTGAAGAGTACCCATGTTGAGAGCCCTGCACCTCGCTCTGCTCCTGCTCTGAATCAGCAAGCAGCACTCCAGGAAAGGATGACCTGAACCATAGTCCCTCCCTACCCCTGAAAATCCAGCTCATCTAAACCTCTGGGTCTAGTCCAGCCCACAGTGGGACATCCCCACAGAGCCCACAGCCGAGGGCCTGAAAAGGTAACATGGTGTGGGACCTTTTGCTCACCTTGAACTTACCTTGTTCGTGTCTTGAACCACAGGTGTTTCAGACAAAATCCTGTCAATATCTACCGCATGGGATCTGCCGGCCAGTTACAGTGTTCTTCCTCTGTTCTTTTGCTGCTATTCTGCACCACCCACTTTCACACCCAGACAGGGTGTTCGTATAAAGTGAATAGTAGATCATGACACTTCTCTACTCGAAATATTTTGATGACTTCCTATTATTCTTTTTTAAAGATTTTATTCTTTTTAAAATATTTTTAAAAGATTTTATTTAAATTTTATTTGACAGAGAGATCACAAGTAGAGGCAGGCAGACAGAGAGGTGGAAGCTAGCTCCCTGCTGAGCAGAGAGCCCCACATGGGGCTTGATCCCAGGACTCTGGGATCATGACCTGAGCCGAAGGCAGAGGCTTTACCCACTGAGCCACCCAGGCACCCCAATGACTTCCTATTATTTTTAGGATAAATCCAAACTTTTGCCAGGCTCCCAAGGGACTTCATTGTATCTTCTGCTCTTACCCGGCTCTCTAGCCTCATTGCCTACCAACCCTACCTTCATCTCTGACTCAGATGCCTCTGGGTTACTGCCTCAGCTGCTCTGCCTGTCCACACTTGTCTGCTACCCACACCCTGGTACCATTTTTCAGATCTCAAGTGCAAAGTAATACCATCCAGAAAGCCTTTATTAGAAGATTAGGCAGGATACCTAGCTCATGGGCTCACATTCTTTCTGTCCTAATAGCTGTCTTCCCATGTTGAAATCTCCTTAGTTATCTCTATCTCTCCCTTCAAGCTTCAAGGAGGTGGCTGAACATGTAGATGGTCTTATTTCTTATTGTAGTCCCAGCACCTAGCACAGCATCTGGCACATAGTAGATGCTCAATAAATACTAGTTGAATTAACTAATTATCTTTTAAAAACCATTTTTGATATTTGAATACCTATGTTCATAGCAGTATTATTCACAAAAACCAAAAGGTAGAACAACCCCACTGTTCACTGATGGAGGAATGGATAAGTAAAATGTGTATAGCCATACAATGCAATATTATTCAGCCTTAAGAAAAGAAAGAAATTCTGACGCATACTACAACATGGATGAACCTTAAGGACATTATGCTAAGTGAAGTAAGCCAGGAACAAAAGGACAAATATGGTATGATTCTCTTATATGAGGTCCCTAGAGTCATCAAATTTATAGAGACAGAAAGTAGAACGGTAGTTGCCAAGGACTCAGGGGAAGAGGAAAGGGGACTTAGTGTCAAATGGGTACTGAGTTTCAGTCTGGGAAGATAAAAAAGTTCTGGAGATGGATGGTGGTGATGGTTTTATAAATAGCATTGTAAATGTATTTAATGACATTAAACTGCACGCTTAAAAATTGTTAAGATCGTACATTTTATGTTATGTGTATTTTGCTACAGTAAAAAAACTATGCTAAAAATCACTTTTATAAAACTTCAAATGAGAAAAATAAAACCTCCAGGTAATGTTGGAGAAAGAGTGAGAAAGAGAGAATGAATTAGGAGGGGCTCATGCTGGGGAACTGTGGTCAAGATTCAGGAGCCCATAGTGGGCAGACCAAGTTTACAGCCCTCGTAAAGTGTCATTGCATAGCCAGCCTCATGGTCTCTGGATGTGCCTCGGGTTACCCTCTGGCCTGCTCAAGACTGCTGCTGCTCATTTATTTGTTCATTTCAGCTGAGATGATTGACATGAACACTTGAGGTTTTATATACCACTGTCCTTAGAAGTCTATTCCACCAGGCAGGGGACCTTAAAAGATGTTTCTTTGCAACTTTGGGAATAAAACATTATTCAAGCACTCAGTGGCAGATTGTTCTCCAAAGATGACCACAACTGTATCTCCCATCTTGCATTACTTCTGCAATGACACCCTCTTGTCAGGAAGAGGGTCTATTTCTGTGTCCTTGAATCCAAGATGGCAGAAGTGACATTGTGTGGTTCTGAGGCTAGCCTCTAAGATGCAGTGTTGTTTCTGCTTTTTTGCTCTCTGGAAGAGCCAACTGCCATGCAGTAAAGAAGCTAGAGATAAAATACTGAGTGATGAGGTAGCCAGCATGTGCAGTGAGAGAGGCTGTGTTGGGGAGCTGAACATGTAATATGTGAGTGAAGCTTCTTGGACTTTCCAGGTCAAGCTTGCCACCATTAGACCACAACTTCATGGACACCACTTTTGGAACAGAAGAACCAGCCAACCAGGCCCTGCCCAGATATATGACCCACAGAATTTTTAGAAATAAATAAGCCATTGCTGTTTTAGGTTACTGAATTTTGAAATGGTTTGATTTGTCTCATGAGACAACCAAAACCCCATCTTCTACCAAATTAAAATTGTACTACAGAGCATTCTATAATTGTATTACAGAGCATTCTATACCTCCACTCAGTTTGCATTCACTGTAAAAATATTAAAATAAATAAAAAAGAAAGAAATCCACCCATAAATCCACCATGCCAATGCTTTCTCTATTTCCACTTATCTGTACATTGTTCATTAGTTTAAGATAGGCATACATAGCTAAACAATGCTGTGTTTATTGAGCACATAACATTTTGCAGTTTTTCCCTCTCTTAGCATTGTATTTTTCATTCACATATTCAATAAGCATTTACTGAGATCTGCTTTATATCAGCCACTGAGAATTTAGAGCTAAATGACTGCATACTAGTTTTTCCATATTTTAAATAATTTACATAATAATTCCTGTGAAATTGCTCTTTAAATCAAACCCAAATTGATCCAGGTGTTTCTTTTCTTGACTATTTATGATTTTAGCTCTGAAGAATTTGTGTTAATTTACAATATGACCTATAGTACCAAACCATAAAATTAAAATTAAAATTATCAAGGAAGGAAAATAAATATGCCATGAACCTAGTCAAATAGAATTACTGTAATTGAACATGTAGTTCTGAGATTTCAGGCAAGGCAAAAAAAGAACAGTGAAGCAGTCATTCTCATTGCTTGACTTAAAGCAAGCTCATCATTCTTCTAATGGGGACGGAAATCCTGACTTCCCTACCCAGGAGGGGCTAAAGACAGCATAGGTAGAGGAGGACTAGCGCTCCCAGGAACTTGGCTGGGAGGAAGAGTAGAGAGTGTTGAAGCTAGGTAGAGGAAACGGGATGTTGGTGGGAAGATTCTGTAGAGAGGCAGAAATTGAGGATACAGGGAAGACAGGGTCTGACTCACGGGTAGGGTCTCTCAGAAGGTCTGGGACTCATGTGGAAAATGAGGGAGTTTCTTGGCTGGCAATTTCTTTTTGTTTTTCAATTTAAACAAGATGAGAGTTTAAGAGAGTGGGGTTGAGGGTTTGAGGAGAGTGGGAAAGGTATCAGATATTCCTTGTTGAATCTGCTGATAGACTACTGGGGATCTGAATCCAGGAACAGACAGAAGGCAAAGGACAGATCATGACACAAATATCACCAGGGCCCTGGCTCCTGACCCCATACAAACTCTCCCCTCTACGAGGTAGGGGACTTGATCTGAAGGTTCTTCTACATCTGCTTTTCTGAGAGTGATGATTCGTAGAGGCTGTGAAGATAGGCAGATGGCAGAGCCAATGGGGCAGCTAGCTGGGAGATTCTAAGGAGTGGAGCAGTTGGAGAGGAAGGAGAGGTTTCTTGTTGAGCTCAAGGTTTTACATGGGAGAGGGCAGAAGAGACAGGGCTTCAGAGCTGTGGCAGCAGAAGCAGGGACAAACCACCTGGACAGACAGGCTCCACTCCTCCAGTTGCCTGCGACTTTAGTCCCTACTCAACTCATGTTACTGGAGATTTGATGCTTTAATTTGAGTTGACTGGGATTTGGCTACCAAGTTGTATCTCCAAAGGAAGAAAAGCAAAGATCTGTGGGCCTGGACACCAACTGCTTTATTTCCCACAAGAGTTGGCAGGTGAGAGTTCAGGGACCCACCATGGCCCTCCTCCTTTCTTCCCTGTCACCTCTGGGCCATGACCTTGTGAAGCAGGTGAAGTCCAAAGTTCAGGCTGCCTGGTTTCTAACCCTGGCAGCTCCATGTGCTTGGCAGTATAATAATCATGGAGGAGTTCCTTAAGCATTCTAAATCTCAGTTTTCTTCTCTGGAAACTGAGAATACTTATCTCATAAAGTTGTTCTAAAGAATAAATGAGATAATGAACCACATAACTGTCTACTTATAGTAGAGTGCCTAGCAGATAATAAGTGCCCAGTATATGTATCATTTTTCCACTGTCCCGTCTACCCCTTTGGCTCTTTTCTTTGATCACCCACTGCCCTTGGTAGGCTGACCAGGTAGTCCTGCACCCATCAGCTTACTCTGGAGTCTGCCTCTCATGATGCCTGTGTATGGGCTGTTTGAATGATACTGAATGAATGATGTGACCTGATACTTGGGAGTAATTTAGAAATATTGCTGAGTCTCAGGCACCTTTGAAGGAGACTTTTCAGCACTAACTGTGACAATTTTTCAATAAAAGCCCTAAGCATCTTAAAATTTTTTATTTACTGATTGATTGAGAGAGAGTGAGTGAGTGTGGGAGAGGGGCAAAAGGAAAGGGAGAAAGAGAATCCCAAGCAGGCTCTGCCCCCAGTGCTGAGCCTGACACCCTGTTGGATCTCACGATCCTGAGATCACGGACCTGAGCAGAAATCAAGAGCTGGACACTTAACGGACTGAATCACCCATGTGCACCCTAAGGCATTTTAAAAACCCTCAGAAAATAACAAGTGTTGGTAAGGATGTGGGGAGCCTGGAACACTTATGTATTGCTGGTAGGAATGCAGATGGCACAACAGCTGAGAAAAGCATCGTGGTCATTCCTCAAAAAAGTTAAACATAGATTTACCATGGTATCCAGGAATTCTGCTTCTCATTATATATTCATGAGAAGTGATTGTAGAAACTCAAATGTATTTGTACACCCATCTAGTCGCTTTATTCACAACAGCCAAAAAGTGGAAATAACCCAAATGTCTATCAATGAGTGAATATGAAAAAATGTATTTTATCCATACGGTAGAATATTACTCAGCCATCAAAAGGAAGGACAACTTGACACTTGCTACAACATGGATGAAACGAAGACTTTATGCTAAGTGAAATAAGCCAGACACAAAAGGATAAATATGGTATGGTTTCTCTTAGAGGAGGTTCCCAGAGTATTCAAACTCATAGGGACAGGAAGTAGAGTGGTGGTTTCCAGGGAGTGGGAGAGGGTTGGGGGCAAAGGGGCGTTATTGTTTCGGGGCAGAGCTTCAGTTTAGGAAGATGAAAATGTTCTGGGGGTGGATGCAGTGTACATGTGCCTAATGCTACAGAAGCTTATGCTTTAAAATGGTCATAATGGTAGATTTTATGTTAATGTGTATTTCATCACAAAAAAAAACCCAAAGAAATTTGTTAAATACTCTAAACCTTAAGTTATGATTGACCGCTGTCATGTGCAAGAACATATTTAAGAGAGGATAAGCACTGACAATTAACAAAATCAAACTAATAAAGATATTTACCACATTTTACTCTTCTGTAATGTATTGAATCCACTGGCACAGGGCTTGCCACATATAGGTTGTCAATAAGTAGCCAGTGTTTTTTATCATTGTTACTGCTATTATTGTTTGTATTATTTATTATTTATGTCATTACTGTTTATTATTATTATAATTATTATAAATAATGTATGGCGCTAGGCACCTCTGAAGAGTTGTGGATGGAACAGAAATCATGGGCAAGAAAGAAAAGGAAATGTGCTTACTTTTCTTTTCCTCTGTAGTCCTGGGAAAGATACAAAGTGTAGAGATTGCCATAGGGCTTCTAGAACAACCAGACACACCTGAATTGTTAAATTCACCGATTCCTTCCACCCTTCCTTTGTTCATTTATCAAGTTTAATTAGGTCCTTAGTAATCATTCATACTGGATGATATGGCTGTTGTACATGTAATAAAGTTTGATTCCTTACCTCCGGAAGCTGATAGTCTAGTAGGAGAGATGGGATATGTAATTGTAGTGCATTTGGGCATGTCCTGAGTGCATGGCCTTTATCAGAGGCTGAAACATGGAGAGAGGAATAACCACAGCATAGGGGTACAAATACTACCCGTGTGTAAATATGTGAAACTAACTGCTGGTGGCAGATCTGAAACTTGAGCCAATCAGTCCCTTGGATGACCTCAGGGTTCTTGGCACCCGCTCCCACGTTCTGACCCTGTGTTCTTTCTGTTTTTGCCTTTCCTGAGGTGCCGTGGAGAGTTCTCCTGGTCTCGGATTCCGTGATCCGTTGAGGGTCTGAAGAGATGGCTGCAGCAGCAATAGCTGGACTGATCCCTGTGCTACACTCGGTGGCTGGTGACAAATCCAGCTACTACATTGGGCGACAGCTGTGGTTTGGCTTCATTGCGGTGTATGGAGTGGTGGTGTACGTGGTGCGCATGCCCTGGGCCTCCGTCCATGAAGATTTCTGGTGCCACGGCAACATCACCAATCCTTGTTTGATTGAGTGTTTCGAAAAACGTTTTAGAAGTCCTGTAGTGGGAATTTGGTACTTCTTTTTCTTTATATTTTTGGCCCTTTTCTTCCTCATGGAATTCTTCATGGCTCAGATTCGGCACAAGCAGATCAAAGTCAAATTAGTGGAGTCAGTGGCAAGTGAAATGGAGGAAGGCTCCATGGTGGGGATCCAGGAACATGTCCCTTCCCCGAAGAAGTCCATCCTGAACTTCCACCAGGAGAAGATGCTTTTGCTTTTGTACCTTCTTTACTTCCTCCTGCAGGTTGGTGCACAGTGCGTGTTTTCTTTCCTTCTCATGTTCCAACACCTGCCCCTGGTGAACCAAGCCATCAATCACTGCAGCACGGACAGCTGCCCCGGGCCCTATTTCTGCCTGATCAGGGGTACTATGGAGAAGCGAATGTCAATCTACACCCTTGTCACCTTGTCCTTCATGATCATCCTCTTCTGCTCAGGTTTCTTCATATACAGCATCCATCATTACCTGTTAAAAGGGATTGCCAGTGCTAAGTTTTGGCTTGACTAATTTTGGAAGGTTTTATTGTGAGTCTTTCCTCCCTTGCACTAGGAACTTTGTATTCCTTTAAATATTGTGTCTGGGGCAGGGCTTCCTCCTGCTAACTTTCTTTGCTTTAGTCCTTCATGAAATAAACCTTGGATGTTCTGTTTCCTTCTTCTACAACCAGGCTCAGGTTGTCTAACTGTGGAGTGGGTGGTACACACTTGATAACATTTCAGAGTTTTCTCAAATGTGTTATCTAATCTGCTCCTCCCCAGAAGCCTTTGGCATTGAGCTTGCTACTTCATTCTTCCGGTGTCTTCAAATCAGGAAGCGTTGTCATTGTCTAGGAGCTAAGAATTTTAAAGATTCAGGGGAGATTGGTTCACTTGTACTCTGGCCTCCCCAGTTTGGGTTGTAAATACAGAGAAGGTAGTTCTTCTCCACAGGAAAATTCTCAGCTGGAATGGCATAGCAGGTTCCCCAAGCTCCTAGATGTGGGCCCAGTCTTGCCACCTCACTGAGTCTCCAGTGAGGACTGAATATATCTGGATGAATCCCCCTGGGGAAAGGATGAGAGAGTGTGGCTAGGGTAGGAATGAGGTTTTGTGGAAGCAGTGCACTGGGTTTCTCTGTGTCCAGAATCTTGCCTTATTCCAAGACCTGATCTATTTTGAGTTATGTTGAAACCCAGCTCAAGCCTACAGGTAGGTGACTTATTAACCATAATTTGGACTCCCTGCTGAGTCCTGTTGTCTGCAAACACAAGGTGGTTTGATCAGCTATGGCTAAGCTCTTCACATCTGGAGGGAGGCAAAGATAGGGATCAGAGTGAGTCTGTTATAGAGAAGGTATGGCTGATTACCTCATCCTGTGCTAGGCAGTCATCCCTAGAAGTAATTTGAATGACCTGAGGGTTGGGCTTCCTCCAGGTGCTTGGTGTAAGATGTGGAACAGGGGGCAGTGCCAAGAGCCCCACCTTTTTTTCGGTACAGTCTGTCTTATCCAAGCAAACATGATGTTCCCAAATAATTTAGTCGGATGTAGTTGGAATTTTCCTGAGGCTGACCGTGGCAGACATCTCACGGTGGCCCCCAAAGATTTTCTGCCTCCTGGCATCCTTGTCTTTGTATAATCCCTCCTTTATGAATGCAGGCAGAAACTGTGACTTCCTTCTAACCAAAAGATGTTACTCCTGGGATTATGTCATATTATATATTATTCCATTTTGGCAGGTTAGAACAAGACTTTTCCTTGTTGGCTTTGAAGAGGCATGCATGGCAGGGAATTGCAGGCAATCTCTTAGAGATGAGAGTGGCCCCCAGCTGACTGCCAGCAGAAAATGGGGTCTTCGGTCATACAACTGCAAAGAAATTAAATTCTGTCCACAACTTGAATGAACTTTGAAGTGTATTCCTCCTCATTCAAGCTGCCAGATGAGAATGTAGCCCAGCTTACCCTTAGACTGGGTTGGGAAACCATGAGCAGAGGGCCCATGCCTGGGCTTCTAACCCACGGAAACTGTGAGATAATATGTGCATGTTGTTTTAAGCTGCTAAGTTTGTGGAGATTTGTTACATAGCAATAGAAAACTAACGCACTGACTTCAGGGGCCCCACAATGGTACAAGAGCCAGGGGAGGTTGGGTGGTCTCAGCATTAATGCATCTGTGGAGGCTTTTCTTCCATCCTAAGAAGCAATTCTCCTTTGCTTTCTTCCAGCAGGTGTTTCAGGCACAGTTTAAGGGGCTTGTATGAGTCTTAGCAGAGAGTGTCAGAGACTGATGTGACTGCTGCTTCTGTCCCCTCTCCCTAGCCAGCCCTGGGAAGATTCACACTGTCCTGAATGATACATCTTGCTCTGCACTGGACTCAGCAAAGTGGGATCTGAGGTCCCAGCACCTTTTGTTGCACACACAAATAAATATGTGATCTTGCTGGGCTCACACAGCCCCCACCAGGCACAAAGCTTGGCAGTTGGAGCTGCTAGATGCCACCTTTAACTCTCATTCCAGGCTGGGCATCTTTGTGCATAACTGCAGGGGCTTCTGAGGCTCCAGTTTGAAACTTAGCTGGGGTTGTGGGGAAGCCACATCCTGTGGATAAGGTTTTACCCAGTGCAAGCTTTGAGTTGTGTAGAAGAAGGGTTACCTTTGAGAACTGTGAAAAATTTCAGTGGTGAATCAGAGCCAAGTGTTGCTGAATACCAGTGCCCTGAACAGTATTTGGTACATGGTAGGGAACCAGTAAATACTGTATGGACAAATTTAGAGTATAATCAGATGCTCTCAGAGAATCTTGATGCTATTTGCAGGGCTTGTGGGTAGTGGTAAAACTTCACAGGCAGGTTTATTGAGAGTCAAAACTCAAAGTCTGGTTTATATCACAAGTAAACCTTGCATACCGCCTTCCCCTGTGCTCATCCTGGTTGCAGGCAATAGAATAGTGCCCAGTGGTTGGGTCTGTGCCATCTTATTTCAAAGAATAGATAAAGGCTGTGTCAGAGGCTTCAGGTTAGCCACAAAGAAGGACAGTCTAGACAGTAATAACAGTCAGTCAACCACTATATTTGAGGAAGTATTTATCCAGATGAAGATTGTTTCAGGCAGAGGGTGGTGGACAGGAACAGAAACCACACCAATAATTTGAACAGGGAGAGTTTGGTGCAAAATCTTGGTAACTAGTCAAATAATCAACTACCTAAAGGGATAAAAGAGGACTTTAAGGGATCTGGAAATAGCAGTTGCAGAATGCAGCTTCTGTCTCCAGGGCTGAGGGAGCATGAACAAGGAGGGAATGGTATGACTGCTACAGGAACATGGAGCCAGTGGGGGTGAAAAAACCTACTAGAGCGTGACAAGCTTGGGTCAGAGCTAATCTGTAGAAGTAGAGTGATTTGCCAGAAAGTACAGGTGGAGCCAGTCCATAGGGCTACTTAGGTGAGTGCTACCAAGTCTCTTGCACACAGAGCACCTGCTGCTGCACCAAGATATGGCACCTTGGAAGCAATTCCCTTCCTTCTATTAGTGCCTTCTAGTGTCCTTCTGCTATTACCTATTTTATCTAATGACAAATCCGAACATCAAGCCATCTGGCAGGGGAGAAATGTTTATAGGGTCCAACCCCAGTATCAAAAAGCCAGGCAAAGGGAGCGAGAGAGAGAGAGAGAGAGGGAGAGGCAATACATTGATATCTGGCACAGTCTACACTGTGGCAACTCAGCTTCCATGTGTATCCTCCTACCCACATTTGAACTTTCAAACAACAATGAAACAACTCTGTTTCCACCCAACAATCTTCAGCTGTCCTTCATACAAGGAAGAAGTGCTCACACTTTCTCCAAAATGGAGACACTCAAAATAGATATTATACCCATTGCTGACTATATTCAGTACTTTCAAATTCGGCCATAGTTCCACTGAAAATTTTGCTACCTAATGGTTAAATTATCAAGTTAATTTTCAACAACTTGTGCATGTAAGATGATAAGGGAAAGAATAAAGGAGAAGAAAATTACTACAATTTACAAATAAATATATACACAAAAAGAAAATGTGCAAAACTAATGCAATTCTTGTGCCTGGTCACAAAGTCATAGTTGATATTTCTCCCTTCTTTACTCAATTTTTTCTTTGTCCTGAGCCAGAAACTTAAGTGGTAGGGTGACCCTCCTGGTAGGGTGATCCAAACTGTCATTTCTGAAGCGTCAGACTCTTCAAGAGTCTTGACTTTTTCTTTTGTTTGTTTGTTATAGTTTTCAATTAACCTTTACTATGGGGCATGGGAAGTATTCTGGGTTCCAGAAATAGTCTTCTTTGTCCCCCACTGTGTAGGGACAACTCAATTTCCCATTGGCAGTTATGATCAATCACTCCAGCCTATAGGGTAACTTTTTTTTTTTTCTTGCCTATTGGCTCAGGGTAAGGAGCCCCAAGTAGCCAAGAGGCAGTCTCATCTTCCAAATCAGTGGGACCACTGTGTCCTTTAAAAGAAGCATTTCCTTATTGGGAAATAACACCTCCAAACCAGAAGAGCTCATGGTTGCTGGGTGAGAAGTGAAAAATTCTGCCAATGTTTTTTTAGGTATAATAGTGAGAGGAGCTTCTCTCACTTCCACCCTTTGATTTAGAGGGTACATACATTCTGGCTGTGTGAGAGATAGCACTATATAATGGCTTCTGGTTCAAAATCTGTATTGCAGCCTGTTAAAAGCTTGCACCCATCTTTTCAGGGTGTTGCCTCACAATTGGTACTGTAACTGAGTTTTCAGTAAGTTATTCCACTTTTCAATTCAGCCAGCTGCTTCTGGGTGTTGGGGTACCGTGGGAAGATTCCATGGGCACGAGCCTATGGCCACTTCCTTTGCTGTAAAATTAGTCTTTGATCATATTCAATTCTGTGAGGTATGTATCTATCACCCAAGCACCATGAGCCCCCACTGTGACTGGTGGAACATAGCAGTGGTTCAGATTCTTAGGAATTATTGTCAGTTCAGAGTCTATGTCTACTGATCCCTTAGTAGTCTAGGCATTTCCTTTTCTCAAGTACCCAGCCAGTCTAGTAAATGGCTATAGATATCTTCAGGGAAGTGTTAGAGGAATGTTTACTGTATATACTTGTGGCCATTCTGCAGAGGTGTCTCCTCTTCAACCAGGGGTCTCTGGATCTGTGAAATGGCTTAGGACTGGAAACTGGATGACGGGTCATGGATCTCCATTGCAGTGACTCAAGCCAGATCTTTAACCAACAGAACAGAATGGAAGTTTTAGATCCACGTTGGCAAACTTTTCTGACAAAAACCAGAGTAAAAGTTTAAACTTTGCAGGCCAAACAGTCTGTCACAACTACTCGACTCTTCTGGTGTAGCAGGAAAGGAACCATAGACTACATGTAAAGAAATGGATGTAGTTGTGTTCCAATAAAACCTTATTTGTAAAAATAGGTAGAAGGCTGGATTTGGTTCATAGGTCATAGTTGACTCCTCCCATGGATCTAGCAATATTTCAATAGGTGATTTCTTTCATTACTATAGGATCATTTAACCACTACTTGAGATGCCAGTTGGCCAAAGCATTCTGATTACCTTTGCTCCTGCTCCTACACAGTAAATGTGTTCACCTTGTCAGGCAATTATATGCTGCCTCTTGGCTTCTGTTACTCTGAGATTCCATT